GAATAAAGGAAATTGGGAACCTCAATGTCTCGTGAACGAATGACATTATAATTATACTTTTGCAGTTGAAAATTAGAGCATTTGAGCGCCATTTGACCCCCAGTTTCCAGACGATTTACATTTTAAGTCTTAAAAAAATTAGAGAGTTTATTTTTGGAGGAATAATGATGAAATAATTAAAAATTTCCACCATCAATTAATTGTCCACCATGAAAATCATTTGTTCAGAATTGTAACAAATTCATTCATAAATTTATTCATATATAGAATGATTTTTTTTTAAATTTGTCTCACGCAATTTAATTAACAATTTAACAATTTGATTTGGTGATTGAAAATGGTCGAATTTATAGTATAGTCTGTATCAAACTGTAAAAAATACTTGAACACCGTTAAAATGAAAAAAAAAAATCTATGAAATTCGCTCTACCGATCTCGAGTAGTTAAAATAAATGCTTGTCACTCACTGCAAACAATGGGCTGTGAGCAGACTTGAAGAGTTTCACTGCTGCCATCAGCATGTGTTATTGTCGTGCGAAAAACCATTCGACACTTCGTAGACTTCTTCTTGCTCCTGCCCTGAAGCATTCCAGCTTCCTGAGGAAATCTGTGCTCCACATCGACATTACGTTCCTTCAAAATTCCCACGCAGTCGCAGGTCACCAGCATGTCCTTGGCAGGATCCATGTCCACCTCGATGACAATAGTTCCATCGATTTTGCGTTCTACGCAGGGGGTGGAGTTCTTTCCACTGACCCTGCAGGCCTGATAGAACATGTGGGGTGCGACACGCCCCAGATCAGTGCCAATGAACACCTGGAGAGTGGCTGGCTTGTCGTAGCCAACCAGACGAACTATGGGAAATCCATTCCCAGTTCTGTCCTTCACAGCCCCCCGGGATCCTTCTGTTTGGTACCGCGCTCTGTGCTGCTGCTCCGGCTGGCAAATTATCTGGAGCTGCACCTTTCCGTCTCGAGATACACTACCTGAAGATCAGAGAATTTATTTAGCAAGAGTCTCTTGGAGTCTCTTTGGAATTGACTGAGGGGTAAATTGATTCTTGAAACGTGTCATTCAAATTGAGAGAATATTTTTTTTCATTATCCATCGGGAATTTTGCTAGTAAAATTTCTTTTCTTTGTTTTAAGGGAAGAAATTTTTTATGTAGATTGTGGTAGGTAATTGTTGAGGATATCATAATTACATTTTCGGGGTTTTTAGGGTAACAAATTACTGGAAGAGTAAGGAATCGATCACAATGAAATAGAAATAAAACTTTGACTTGAGAAAAATGTCTGCGGGCTTCAAGTCATAAATTTTTTCAACAACCAATTATAAAAAAGATGATATGAAATTCAAGTCAACGTAATTTCAATGTAAGTTTTATTTTTCAGATGATAGAAATGAAAAAAATCATCCAATACTTTTCACCTAAAATTCATATTCCATCGTTTTATCAACAGGAAAAATTCGTAAAATTATTATTAAAATCCCAGAAATGTTATTTCGATATCCACAAAATAACATTTTTGGGATTTTTCTGCGTGAGAAATTCTGAATATTCGACTTTACTGAAAGAATGAGGAATTAAATCACAAAGTAATAGAAATTAAACTTTGACTTGAGAAAAATGTCTGCAACCTGCACCTCATAAATTTTTATACCATCAAATTATAAAATATGATGTGAAGTTTTATATTCCATCGATTTATAAACAGGAAAAATTCAATGTAACAATTGAATTATTAGTAAAATTATTTAAAATCCCAGAAATGTTATTTTGACATCCTCAATATTTTGTCTATCTGTCTATATCTGAAATGCTGTTCAAAGAATTAACGATTTCAGTTCAATCGCGGACACGTACAGAGTTGAGAGTTAAGGGTGACGGGACCTTGATGGGCCGGTGGCGGCCGCTTCCCGTAGGTTCCCAGTGCTGAACGTGCCCTCATGACTCCCCCAACACGTCCCATAGCGCCATTACTCGTTCTCGTAGCACTTATCGGTGCACCAATGCCATTAGCACTGTTGTTTCTGGTGATTTTCCCATGATTTTCACCAGTCCTCTCGGGAAATGCAAAATTGGCATCCTCAGACTCGAGTTTAATATCCATTCTACGTCGCTTAGTGTCCTCCTCACCAGCCGCACCGTTGTTCCAGGCCTGTACCAACAATTGATGGTATTGAGTCCGGGGGATTTCGACGTTGGGATCAATTTAATGAATCAAGTCGAGTGCAGGAGAGACAAGTGTTATATTGTTCTTTATTCGTTGCTGGGGATGAGTTCAACTGCCTTTTTAGTGCTGATGGCATTTGCCGTTGTTACAATCGTTCGTCGAGAGCAATTTTTTTTTCGGGGGATCAGACATTAAATTTTTTTTCAAATTTCTGTTGGAAATTTCTACTGAATTTTTCTTTTCTACTTAATTTTCCACTGTTGAAAAATTCTGCAACTTATATGCGCGTTTTGTTTTATCAATAGAAATGTTCAATGGGAAATATTCAGTGGAGAAAATTAATAAAATTCGATTTATGTTTGTTTTTAAAGGAAAACAGAAAAAAAGAGTGAAATCTTTTTTGAAAATTCATGATTTTTTTCGGTGAAATTGTTTCTTGCGTGGAAGTGGCGAATCTTAATTAATTAAATTATATTTTTAAAATGCGGGGTTGTCCATCTAATGAATAATTCATCTCCCCATCGATATAAATTAACAATTAACAAGTCGTTCGAAATGTTTATTAAATTTGAAATTCTCTTTATGCTAAATAATTCCATGAGAAAATGTCATGAACCCTTTTATTGTGCCAAGAAAATATACAAAAAAGGTCCATTAAATTCTCCCAAAATCCACTCCAATACCGAATCAAGACTTCAAAAAATAGCGGATAAATTCAATACAAAAAGTGTGCGACAGTGAAAAAAAAAGTTCAAGGATAGAAAACAATTTTATCAAAATTTACGAAAGGTAAATGTTATCAATAAAATTGATGCAACAGCCGAATTTACCGAGGGATTTGTGATGTGCTGCTGCCTATCCTCGAATCCAAGACCAGAGTCATTAGAATTGTCGCAAACTTCCTGTGTTGAATTTGGCCCGTGATCGTCCGAGTTCCTAACCGTAACACCAGCTATTGATGCCAGTGGTATACGCGCTGGTGATGTGTGCTGTCGTTGATTCGTCTGTGGAATTGTCGACTGCTGTTGGATTATTGGTGGCTGCGGTTGCTGCGGCGGTCTGGGCTGGGGGAATCTTCTTGGCGTCGTTTGACGAGAATTAGCGGCTGCTAAAGAAGCTCTTTGAGCTGAATTTGCGGCACTTCCACCACCTGTATTACCTGCAATGCCAAGAGAAGAAAATAAATTAGTTTGAAATGATTTATTTACTGGTAGATTTGGTCTTGCGAATTATCTCGGGCTCGGAGGGAGGTAACGCAATTTTTGTTAAGACCTTTTTTGTAGAGAATTTCATGAGCTTCCAGAAAGGTTATTATCAAAATTTCACTATCTCCTTCAGATCCAAAGATATAGATGATTTTATGATATCAATTTAGTTTTGGTACTGAATAAGTCTATTTCCTGATGAATTTTTAATCGCGAATAATTTGGAATTGACTGATGAAAATTGAAGAAAATTAAGGCCATTTTGAGCATTATTTTCTGGGCTTTAAGTTGAAAAAAAAAAAATTCCATTTGAATCTTGAGTGATAAAATAAGAAGAGATAATTTAATTTCAAATATAGGGAAAAGATTTTTTGTAGCCCTTGAAATTCTGTACAAAAATGTCCTGACGTGTCCATCAAAAACCCCTTCACAATTTAATTATTATATATAAATAAATTCCGCTGAATATTTCCAGACAATTCCAATCTCTTTATTTTGAATATCAATCAGGGTCCACTTTTCTTTATTGACGCAGGAGGGTTCAAGGCTGTCCTCCTCATGAGGTCATCAGCTCGATGCCTTTGTACGACGAAAAAAATAAGCATTTAATTCACATACTTTCGAGTTGTCCGTGAGTTACGTCAGTAGCAGGATAACATTAGAATCACGAAAAGCACCCGAGGAAACGAAGGAAAAAAAAATCGTACTGCGATCAAAAATGAGGTGCAAAGTTCAGTTTTTTCGGTTGGTAACGTAAAAATAAATGGCTCGGACACTGCACGTGAAATAATAATGCTCCACTCGTTTTTCGATCTTTCTTTGAGTCTTCTCATTTGCATTCGCACTGGGTATACCAACTCGTTTCGACATTTACAGTTTTTTTATCTCATTTGTTTCAATGTCTCGAGGCACCAGGTATTTTATCCTCATTTTCTCAAGCCAGGAGAGAAAACGAATAGGTCGGCCGCTTCCAATTTGATTTTTTGGGAAATATTTCTCGAAATTTTTTTTGTCTCCCTCAGATTTTCAAAAAATTAATGAAGTGTTTTTTGTCTCGTTTTAATCCTTTAAAATTAATTTTAAAAAATCGATAGAATTCCATTTTTCTAATAAAAGGAGAGGAAAATAGAGTGGAAAAAACATAGAAAATTCATGTCGAGAAATTCCTATAGAGAATGTCTTAAAAATTTTTTTCTGCAAAATAGTTTCTATTGAAAATTATCTAAAAAACGTGCAGTAAAAAAAACAACTAGAATCTTCAATAAATTCTCAATCGAAATCCGCTAGAATTTTCTATCGAATTTGCTGGGTTTCTTTATAAAATTTATTTAATAAAAAATATATCTGATAAAAATAAAATCACCACTTCCCAATTCCCCCCCAAAAATCAAGACCGCAAAATCTTCAGATCCATCAACCAAAAAAATAACCGACCAACTCCCAAACATTCAAACCATGACCAGCCGTATTATATTCTCCTTTCACGTGTATAAAAATGCGTGACGCACGTGCTGAGCCGGGGCCAACTCATCGTAAACATTGTGTTAGTCGGAATATGTAAATTTTCGATATAAAAATAAATGAGAATATAAAGAGGTAGAATACTAAAAAGAAATTCGTGAATTAATAATTATGGAAAAATATATATTCGCATAAATTTTGAATTAAATTGTCCCGAAGATATGGGTTGTCTGCATTGAGCCCCCGATATTTTCCGATCGTTGCACGCAAATTGACTGGACAAGGGGAACAAAAAATAGTGAGAGGCGAGAGAGTGGCAAACATTGGAAAAAAAAAACGGAGGAAAGTAGAGGAGGAGAATTAAGAGGGCAAATGAGCGCGTGGGCATACGATAGTCTATCTATAGAAACACTACTACTACTAGTCAAGGATAATTGTGAAGAGGGAGGGGGAGGGGGAGGGCTTGGGATGACACCCATATCTCAATCCTCCCCTGTTTGCACATTCGAACGCAATGAGAGTATGAAAACGTCGAGGAAAATCACTGGAAGTGATGTCGATGAACTCTCTCATTCTGCACCAAGTGAATAAACACATGAATGGGGAATTTTCTGAAAACTATATATAACATTTTTTGGGTGATTGAGTCAATAATATGGAGGAAAATAAATAGAAGATTCGAGTGGGAGTAGCATGGAGAGGGAATGAATGAGTGAAGTGCTATGGAAATGACGAAATTTAGGCATTCGTAACTATTTATGTTTTAATGTTTGGCGAATGTGACTATGCGGAATGATTTTTGTTGTTGATTATTTAATCATGAGGGAATTTCTTCAGTTGTTGAATATATTTCCGGGCTGTTGTAGGGCGTTTTAGTCGTGTAGAGTTGGTATTCTAGCCGAAGGCGAGGGCTGGCCAAGCGCGCGAGTGAAAAAACCCCAGCGCAACTGCCTGGAGAATATTTTTCCCTAGGGATTTTCAAGTTTTTGAGTTTTGGACGAATGCAGTGCCAATTCCCAGACGGGAAATCGGGGAAAGGAGTACAGAGAAATAATATTTCCATTCATTTCTTCAGGAAATATTGCCTTGTTCCATGTTTTTGTGAGAAGAATGTGAATTAAAATGTTAATTTTCTGAAAACTATCTATGACATTATTTGGATGATTGAGTCAATATAAATAGAAGACTCGAATGGGGTGGCATATAGAGGGAATAAATGAGTGAAATACTATCGAAATTAGTGAAGAATATTAATTACAATCGGACAATCGCCCAATTGTTGTCTTCTCTCCACAACTTTCATTTCCGTCTCTTTGCCACGTGTTATGTAGCCAGGCACTTCGAGTGCCACCTCGATAACAGGATCGATAAACATCGTTACTATTACCACCGGGCAAATAGCCCCTGTTCGCTAACTGTGACACTCCCGATGTCTCAAGGATAAGTATACAGCGGGTTTAGATCGGGTTGCTCCACGGGGTTCCTCTTTGACACGTGTTCGGAGAGGGGAATTTATATTTTCGGCAGAATTTTCGGTTGAAGATGAGGGCAATTAGTGATTGTTAACCAGAAATTGAGGGTAATTGAAGTGTTTCTGCACATTAATTTTATATCTTTCTGATATAACAGAAATAATAATACTAAATTGTTATTATTAATTATTATTAATAATATTAATAATTATTATTATTCGTAATTATCAATAATCATTATTATTAATTAATAATAATTTTATTATTATTATTAGGGAGAGTAGAGTAAAATGGTCACTTTTTATTTTTTTTCAGGAAATTTATCAATTGAAGTCAGTCTGAGCTCGATTAATATATTAGTGTCCATTAAATAATAAGTAATATAGTGTCCATTTTGCCCCATTTTAGACTTGAAAAAAAATGATGTTATCACGCATTATTGCGATAATCCAATAGAATAATTAACAAGACATAAAAAATTGGGTTTGCCAGCTCAAACTTTCACATAAAAATATTGAGACAGTCCAATATGACTCTTGAAGCCCATCTGTATCTCACTTTCCTCACCGTTGACTTTTTAATAACATCACTGATAGCCTACTTAAATTGCAGATAAGCGTGAATGGTAGCGCCGGCAGTTAATTACACATTAATTTCTTTGACGAAATTAAATAAAACGAGAGTTTTTGTATTTCCAAATCAGGAAACATTGATAAGTTTCTAATCACGAGCTGCATCGCTGCTCGTCTCATACGATCCAGTTATATTTTCGTGTTTTGTCTGCAGTTCGAGAAGATTCTGAGACGAATGGGGATACCGTAAAGAGCCAGTTCTCTTTTTTTTCTTCACGCGTCCAGCGAGAATGGATCGATACAATCGGACATCAACGCGAGGTACCGAGTGATAGGGAACTCATCGGAATAACCTTTAGTTAATGTTATTCACACTGGTGAAATTTATTTATACAGATGAGAGTTCAGAGAATAAATGAGCGCATGGTTTGGCAGCAAATCAAGCTTGAGAATTTGTCATTTCGGAAATTTTGGAATTTTGGCCACACCAGACTCAACCACATTCAATCATTAAATTTGTTAATTAAATTGCGTGAAAAAAAATTTGAACAAAAAAACATGAATATTCAAATTACATTTTTCACGGAAGTACTATTTTTTTGACATTCGTTGTTTATAAATTATTTATAGAAAATGCCCGTAATTTAAGAAAATTCCACTTTCAAAATTATTTCATCAATCTTGCTCTACACGTAAACTTTCCAATTTTTTTCAGATTTTTAAAATGTTTTCAAATAGAAAATCATTTCAATGAAGAAGAAATAGCCTAAGTACCTGGATATCCTTAATTTAATTTTTCTGCTTTTTTAAAATGGATTTGAGCCCTTTTTTTCGGTCATGACGTCACAAAACCGGAGTCATAGTTCTTCATTGGTCGAATTTTAAAAATGGGAGGAGCCGGACTCCCTCATTGGTCGGGAGTCCGACTCCTCCCACTTTTGTGCGCACGCACAGATTAGGTTAGGTTCATCCGAATGAATTCAGCAATTGGTGGAGCGCCTATCAGACCTTCTGACGTCATTACCGAGTTTAAAATTGATAAATTCGAAGAGTTAATGATCCCTAAACGAATAATTCTAATTCTCAAAACTCTCGAAAACTCGTGCAAGTCATTAGCATCAACGGCAATTAACGAAAATCATTATCAGCACTTGAAGGTCTTTGATTGATGTTTTAAATTTTTATTACATTTTCATTCTAACGTCGCATTTGAGTGGTTGCTCGGGGCGAGAGAGCCATTCCAATCAATTAAGGCGGACGAGAGACAAATTCCTCCGTCAGTCTGTGGTATCGACTGACGATTGTCCCGAGTTCCACTTACGCACGAACGACTTTTTTCTCCTTTTTTTATTCTGTCTCTATCGGCAATCGCACTGAGGACATCACACTCGTGAGTCAGTGTCTGAAAATCGTTTGAGCCTCTTGTTTTTGGTTCATTTTCATTTTTTTCATTTTTTAATCTCGTCGTGAGCCGTCAGACAAACGTCAAAAATTCTTCCGCTGTTGATCAGGTGCTCTGAATTTTAAGAGTGAAATTTAAAAAAAAATCATCAATTAAAGATTTTCTTAGGATTTTACTTGTCTTGTTCAACTGCTGAGTAGAAATTATTAACTCAGCTGACTCGAAATATCGAATAAAATTTATATCTTGAGCTGTCGCCAGACCTCTCACAACACCACACATGAATCTCGCCACCGACCCAACAACAATTATCACTCGAGAATTATCAACGATTTCTGGAGTGCACTCTCCTCTTTTTATTGATCCCTCTCCCTCTTTTTTCATCCGTAAATGTTTATCTCCCTTGTTGTTTGCACCCAGTGATCATGCATCTCGATTGGTAATATCACAGCACACATTTTTATCATCGATTTATGCTGCACACGAGCATATATTCTAATTTATTTAACCGTTCGCGTTTAATTGTGGAACGAAAAAAAAATGGTGATTCGCCCAGAGCATCGGCCTTGAATTTATTATTCGAGAATTGCGAAGGCTCAGGGACCCTGGGGTGGTCAATGATCAGTTTTATTTAGGCGTTCAAAGCACAACCACCTGTCGGCCCTGGGAATCCAGTTTAAATTTTTCAAAAATCACGAAGGGATTGCATTATCTCTCGTGTTGGGTTATTTTTAATTGGATTTTTTTTTCTCAAGAGGTGTTTTCCATTCATCTCCTGATCTCAATTGTTTAAAAAAAGCTTGAGCAATAAAAAAATAATAAGTAATATTTACCCAATTGATTAATGAATTATTCAATTGATTTTATAAGGAAATGCCGGACGATATTTTCACCTAAAATTATTCATTACAGGATAATTCAAAGAGAAATAAAATTGAGTTGTTTATTTCATTAAAATTTAAGAATAATTTCAACGCTGAAATAACAGGGTTTGCAATTTCTTTAAAAAAAAGTCAAAATCATTCCCAAAACGAATAAAAAATCAGCAAAGATAATGATAAATTTATCAAAAAGTCTTACAAGAACACAACATTGAAGCGTTTGGGAATCGAACACATTTAATTAACAAAAAAATTTCTAAATCCATTACCGAATAATTATTCTCTTCATTGACCTCCCATCCACCGTCGCTGCTCAGAGACAAACCCTGTACGTTTTCGGAGCCACGGGAGGAAGTGGAAGACATTAAACTAATTGATCAATTCTCCCTAACCCATTCAGGAGAAATAAAGCGATGAATGAACTAATCAAGTGTATGAACCCCGAAGTGAATAAAATTACTGCATTTGCGTGATCGGAATTACAGCACTGCATATGAACCCAAATCGATGACTTCTCACATGAGGAGGAGAGGGCTGGATGCCGCTGAGAGAAAGCTCCGCATCTTCCCTCTCCCTCATGTGCGTAATTCAACCAAGCCCGGAATTTAAAATTCATACGGTAGATCAATTTTCCATCGATATCTGTCGCAGGTGAAATTTCGCTCCTTTCCCCTGCATTTTTATCGCTATCCCGATGCATTCGCGCTTTACGTAACTCCTGTTTAATAACAAGAGTTTTAGTTTTCGTTTGACACGAAATAAAAAAAATAATAACACAGGGATTCCATCCGTGGAGACAAAAAGATGAGTTGAATTGTGTGTCAACTAATGAGTCGCTCTCAGGAGCGAAGGATACTAAGAAAATGTTTGTAAAAAAACAACCGTGAATTCACCTGTGTTACACAAATGCAATTAGATCCGCAATTCCTCGTTATTTTTCTGTTTTTTTTCTCTCGTTCTTATCAGTGTCTTCTTTATAAATGAAAAAATACTACGGACATGACTGTCAGGTGCGAATAAAAAGATGGAATTCCAACGGTTTCATGATTTTGTAAGAAATTTCGCAACAATTTATCGAATGAAATAATTCAATTCGGAATTATTGAAGAGTTTAGGGCGATCTGGAGTTCTTGTGAAGAATAATAAATTTTTTTTTACGAAAATAATTGGGAGGGCGCGAGAGGTGACTTATGTGTCGACTGGGAAAATTTTTGTTAAAAAATAGCCATGAACTGACCTGAGTTACACAAATGCAATTGCTCGGTTGATCCGCAATTCCTCGTTATTTTTCTGTGTTTATTATTTTGTTTTTATCAGTGTCTTCTTTATGAAAGAAAAAATACTGCAGACATGACTATCAAGTACGAATAAAAAGATGACATTCCAACAATTTTATGATTTTTAAAGAATTATGCAATTGTTTATCGAGTGAGATAACCCAATTCGTAATTGTTTACGAATTTAATATTAGGGTAAAATAAATGTTCTTATGTTGAATATTTTTCGACTGAATTATACGAATGGGATGAATATGGTATTTTTTTTAAAGAATAATTAAATGGATTTAACTCTTGAGAATGAGCTCAAATTTATCGAATTTCACTCTGCGGATCTCGAGTTATTGGTGATTAAACTCATCAATTCTTTTCTATTTGACAAAAATAATTGCAGCGCAGAGGAGGGGGTGAACTATGTGTCAACTAATGAGGAATGTAGGATCGTGAATGCACCTGAGTTACACAAATGCAATTACATCCGCGATTCCTCGTTATTTTTCTGTTTTTATTCTCTTGCTCTTATCAGTGTCTTCTTTATGAAAGAAAAAATACTGCAGACATGACAGTCAAGTGCAAATAAAAAGATTGAATTCCAACGGTTTCATGAAATAATTATAATAAATCCGGGATTATAGAAGAGTTTAAGGCAAAGGGAAATTTTTAATTAAATGAATTTCGTGATTTTCTAAAAAAAAATCCGATAACGTACCGCAAAAAATTATTAAATTCATAATTTAAGCTCATCCAGTCTTTTCTATTTGACGAAAAATATTGAGAATGAGGGGGAGGGGTCAATAATGAATGTACCACTAGCTGACAGACGATCCGTTTAGCCCCAGTTGTATTCGCGACGCCCGAACGAGTGTTTTCCACCCTCGAAACTCCTTCCTTTCACATCTCCCGGCATTTTAGGGCATAACAAACTTTCGAGTGATTGCAATCGGAAATTTCCGCGGGCTTTCCAATCACACTTGTCCGTATGGAGTGCTGTAACCCTCCAACCTGTTCCTCGACCCAGGCAACCCAGTTCAGTAGTGGAATGGTTGGACAGGAGATAAGTTAAAACTTCGTGGAGGATTTTTTAATGAAGACCCGGGGATGTAAGGGGATAAGAAAATTTTCGTTCAGACATTTCGATTTCAACATTTTTAAAATTATTTTAAATGATCTATATTTCTAAATGTGAGAGAGATATCGAAATTTTTATTGAAATATTTCTAGTAGATTTCCTTCTGTTGTATAAAATATCAGAATAAAAATTTTGGAGACAAGAGATGAGTTGAAACTTCGAGGGGATTTTTAGTGAATATCCGGGGTTGTAAGGGGATAAGAAAATTTTCGTTCAGACATTTTGATTTCAACATTTTTTAAATTATTTTAAATGATCTATATTTCTAAATGTGAGAGAGATATCGAAATTTTTATTGAAATATTTCTAGTAGATGTCCTTCTGCTGTATAAAATATCAGAATAAAAATTTTGGAGACACGAGATGAGTTGAAACTTCGAGGGGATTTTTTAGTGAATATCCGGGGTTGTAAGGGGATAAGGAAATTTTCGTTCAGACATCTCGATTTCAAATTCTTTTTACTTATTTTAAATGATTTATATTTCTAAATGTGAGAGAAATATCGAAATTTTTATTGAAATATTTCTAGTAGATTTCCTTCTGCTGTATAAAATATCAGAATAAAAATTTTGGAGACAAGAGATAAGTTGAAACTTCGAGGGGATTTTTTAGTGAATATCCGGGGATGTAAGGGGTTAAGGAAATTTTCGTTCAGACATTTTTTGAAGCTGCCGTCTGTCTCCTTGAAAAAAATTCATTTCTGTAAATCCCCGATTGAATTCATCCCGCTAAATTCCCCAAAAATTTAACGACGAAATAAAAAAAATCCTGAACCTCCCCGAAATTCCTCCGAATATTCTCCTCGCCATCAAAACCTCAATGAAAACACAGCCCTCCCACCCCTGGGAACCCCCACATCTGTCCCAACATACTGAATCAAATAGTCATTGACAATTTACCATGACGATAGTAATCCGTCAATGGATTAATCGGGCATCTCATTAAGAGCATCCCTTTGTCGACATCGGCACCGATGTGTCCCAAGTGTCCAAGCCTCCTTGCCTCTCTCTTCTTATCAAAGTCAGGTGCCATTAAACTCTGATCCCACTCACTCAACCGAAGCAGTAAACAATAAAAGTACAATAAATCCACAGATAAATCACAAAAAATTGCCCGGCTAAAAGTCCTGGCGGTGTTATTTCCCCCAGAAAATCACCTAAAGTCCGCGATGAACTCGCGATTAAATTCAGTGAACAGCGATAATTGAAAAAATTTTAAATGCGAAACCGGGTCCGGCGACGTTTCAATGTATTCCTCTGCACACAAATGACGAAACGGCGATTAATCCCTCCACACATTCCCGCCATTACACTTTTGAAATCATCTCACTATCAAATCCACAAAAAAATAAACTCATGCGAAATAACCATTGGAGTCCATAATAACAATAATTGAGTGAACTCAAGTGTCAACTCAAAACTGGTATCCACTAGATTCAAATTTTTCCTCCGAAAGTACTGACTGACGATTTTTTTTCTCCTCGAGTGTGAGAAAAAAAAAAGCCTGGAGGCGCGCGGTAGAAGCGACGAGGACGTTTGAGTGTTACGACGCAAACTGTTGGACGTCGTCGATCCGCATCGTTTGCTGGCACAGTGAATAGCGAGTAAATAAGCCCCACCGCTCGACAAATTTTACCATCCACTGTTTCTCCCATCAAATGCCATCGGTTATCTCTCTCTGACTCACTGCCACTGGCATGCAATCACCCTGGCTCCACCTCTTCGGTGGAGTCCCTCGTCATCGTGATACGCATCATCCCTTCTACTTTGTTGTTGCCCTGATGTATCGATGAGGATGGTATTGTAGAAAAAATTTCAAGTGTAGGAATGAGGAATTTTGTGGCATTTAGGAATTTATAAAAGGGATATCTGGATAAATATTGATAATTTGCAATTTTGTTTGTTGCTATTTTAGAGTTGTGTAATAAAATAAAGCCCTGATGAGGAGAATATTTAGTTCTCGAAACGTTTAGTTGGCGATTGGCAAAATAAGTTAATGCTGGGCAAGGGGGCGCGCGCATGATTGGCTACTCACTTCTGCACATTATTTTTGGTCATTACGTATTCATTTATTCATTAAAAAGCGGTTAATCTCCGCTTTTATCATGTTCAGATTTAATAAAAATTTTGAGAAATGATCTTCAAAAATTTTTACGGCGAAAAATTCGCGTTGCTTATGAATAAAAAATATCTATTTATATATAAAATGTATAAAATAATAATGCATTGTATATAGTACATACATTTCATTATTATTAATAACATTATCATAATTTTATGCATTTTATTTGCATTTGCGGTCTAGCATATGCTCGGCGAAATAGATTGCTGACCAAAAATGTTTCACCTATTTTTTAACAGAGGATTGCTGATATTCACCGGATAACGGCCCAGGGGAGGAGGAGGTGTATTAATTATAATTGGAGCGATTGGAATTCATCTAATTTTCATAAAAGGGACCACTTTGTCGATATGGAGTTGGAGTTATGTATATTCTGATAATACTGACAATATTCCGCACATTATGAGCAGAAAATGATCCTCATAGGGTCAAAAATGACGTCCCAGGAGCAGATGGATAAAAGAATTTAACATTAGTGTAAATGGGAGTTGCTGGGACTAAAACGTGAATATCTGGAAATCTAGAATCGACAAAGTGGTCCCTTTTCATGCGCCCATTCCCAAATGATTAGGTATCGGTAATGAGGGTCTTAGGGAACGCCATGAGGCATTTTTAGGGATTTCACATTCTCCATAAAGAATTTCTCTTGACAATTACTTCTAGAATTACCATTAACTTGAGAATCCAACAATGAAGAAGTTGAAGGAGTCTTTCTATTCTACATTAATTCAATTCAATTCATTTATTCAAGACTTCAGGCCAGTGCCCGTCGAAGCCTACCAAAAGAATACATATAGGCACGAAGGAACTAAAGAGAAAAAATGTGTAAGCCTTCAGGTTTGAGTGAGTGGTTAAATAAAAAAAAAGAAGAGAGAAAAGCAGAAATAAATATAAAAGTATGAATTTGTCGCCAAATACATTCACAAGTTCAAAAGAATTGCTAAAAAATCGTTAATTATCTTACGAATGAGTGATTTTAAGAGAAAATGTTAATAACCATTTCTTCCGAAAATTTTATTTTCTACGAAAAAAAAACTTTTAACATTTTATCATAAAATTACTGATTAACGAAATAATTCGACAATAAAGAAATAAAAGAAGTCATGAAATTTTGCAGACTTTACATTAATTTTTAATTGGAGAATTGTAGTTTTAGAAAAAAATGTTATATTCTCGGGAATTGAATGACATTCTCCAAAAATCATGAAACATAATTTCATGAAATCACGGGGAATGACGAACTAAATTAATTTCCTATTAGAGAATAAAAAAATGTGTCCAGGCCTCATTCCCATTATTCCATATTTATCCACTGCAGATATCAACTGCCACAGAAGATGCCTTAATCTCTTTATTATCCGATCGACTGATTCCAGATAATGATACAATGACCGTAATTCAATCCCTCGCGCTGACAAATAAACGAAAAAAGCTGCTTGTCAAAAAAAATCTCCGAAAAATCGGTGTTAAAAATTCATCGAGCGAAACAATTTTGAATCTGAATAAAAATCACGGGGAATGACAATCTCGAGATTCCTTGTATCTGCGACCTTCGAGGAGAGGAGATAAAAAAAACCCGAGGGGAGGGGGAGACTGGAGACGTGGTGGGGGAGATAACGGAATGCGTTTCGATAACAGGGTAAAACCGTTTCGCTTATTACCAACGTACAGAAAGCATTAAACGGTTAATCCACCTCACATTTATTTCAACTATTGTACACTCGAGTTTTTGTGCCTTTCGGCTGGTACGAGATGTCTCGGCGTTGAGTGTCCTCGTCTCGTTTTTGACTCTAGCGAACAACGTTACGCAACTCTAGACGCTTCACCTCCAGTCTCTAGGCATTTTCGAAACATTTAAATCACTGCTAAATTCCTCTGACGCCAGACCGAATTGAAAGAACGAAATAAAAATTTTTATCGGATGAAAATTGCGTGAACCTTAATCTTTCTAATTCTCCTATCAATTACCTCTGAAGAAATGAACAAATGAACAGCAAAAAATATTCTGAAATAGGGTCTAGATAATTGACGATAAATAATTAGAGTGATTATTCGTGCATGACGTCACAAAGTCGGAGTCTTCGCCTCGATTGGTCGAGTGGGCGGAGCCGGAGTCCCCATTGGCCGTGTGCGCGCACAGACTAGGTTAGGGTGGTCTGAATACCGCTTGCCATTGGTTCACCCTTCAACAGACCTTATGACGTCATGAACTTTTGAAAAATTTACATTTGAAAAATTAATAATTGATTACTAAACATTTTTATTTTATTTTTTAAGGGAAAGGATTTTATTGGCATCACGATATTGGAACAGAAAATGAAGAGTTCTCACTGTCGGAAGTCTAATAAATATAAAATGGGCTTTTGTTGTCAGATGGCGGGGCGCATTCAAGGCGCCACCAATTGTAACTCGAAATTATTTTTAGTGCAATCACAACAACTTCTCTCGCTCGATTTCCCGATGTCGCACATCAGGGTCATCGTCATGTTTACAAATATAACCGTCCAATTAACGATTTGAAATACTCAAATAGACACGACATGGGGGAAATGAGGAAGACTGAGCTTCATGCAAGCTCTCGCTTGTTAAAACTCTAGACTGTGACGTCACGATCAGACAAATTTACTTCGAATTCGTTATTTTCGGAATGAAGAAATACGTATCGAATATTTTTCATTCTATTTTGATTGACAAAAATAAAAAAAACGTCATGCGAAATTCCAATTAAAAACTCTTGAGAGATTAGATTGGGCTTCTCGGAATAATGAGGAAAATGACGCAAAATCCATTTGTGAAACGATTTTTGAAATATATCAGAGAATGAACTTGACGAGTGAAAAAAGTAGAATTAAAAATGTAAAAATAAATTGATTTTTCAGATTCGTGCGACGATTGATGATAGATTGACTCGTGTCAATAAGTGTTCACAAACACCGTAAGACAATGGAGCATCTTTATTCCCCCTACATAAGCAATCACAACTATCACAACTATATTTACACCACAAAAGGTTAAACACTGCTCCACCCTCGCCCCTCCCTCATCACAGTCATTAATTAATTCACAGATAATGAGACATGAATTACATGCACACTCAAGTCAACTCCTCGTATTTGTTATCTGAGCAAGACCGAATGTTTCAATCCGGGTGATATTTTATTCAAAGCAAAGTGTAATTCCCTACGAGATGAAAAAAAATTGCGGGGAAACGACGAATTTTCAATTGCAATCATTATCTGGCAGTGTGTAATTTAAAAAATAATGCGCTATTTGCGAGAAGTTGTTATTACCTCAAGAGATTAAATTTATGTTAATCTGAATGGTTCAATCTGTAGTTCTCCCCTATGATAGGAAATTTTCTATTTAATTTTATTCATGGCAAGAATCTTGTGAAGAGTGAACTATTTGTGAATCTTGTGAACTATTTATATTGTGACGTGAAAATAGGACTAATATTCAAATTTCTTAATTTTTTATAAAAGGAAATTACCGATATTGATAACTAAAATAAAGACATTGGTTGAAGCCTTTTGTAAACAATAAATCCCAATTTTTCAGAGGAAGCAAATCATTCGATTCTCCCTCAATTTTTTTCTATATAATACGGGCGAGCGAAGCGAGCGAGAGGGCGGGGCTACACCCCCGGTATTGGCTAGCGCAACGAGCAGAGGGCGGAGCCCCCTAGTAATAGATAAAATTTTTATTCTGTTCGAAATTAATCACCGCAATGAATTGGTTGCATTGCAGTCGCTATCTCAAAATAAAGAATTGAAGAAAAATCCTGCAACTTCTCAATTCCATCTGTCAACGAAATCTCAGTAAATTTCTAATATTCCGAGAGTTGTGGTTGAGCGTGTGACTCCATCCCCGGTATAAATACGATGCGAGTTTGTAGCGATCGCTGACCTCTCGACCTCGGCGATATTCTAATCGCGCCGACTTCGTGCGGGATATGCCGTCAAAATTACTAATAAGTACACCACAAACTACTATCCTTTGTACCGATTTATGCGTCTCCAGCTTTTCCATCATCCGATAATTCACCATTTTTTTTTCATTCATCGCTCCCCTTAAATACTTCAGTGATAATTAACACTTGTTCTGTTCAGTTCAACTCAGCCTCGTGTATCCAAGTGATTCACCATTGATACCATGATTTTTTGGTGTTACGAAATGGTAAATCGGAGTTTAAAGTTCAGAGAAAATGAAGTAAATGAGTGATGTGAAAATTTATTGTCTGAATTATCACCCAAACGTGCATTGAACTCGACCTTGGGGGATACTGTGAAATACTATGAAGTTGTCAGACTGTTCTTTAATTAATGGGAGAAAGTACCGTTTTAATATCTTTATTTCACACATTTCTCATTTTTTATTTTTATTGATTAAAATGAATTTTGA